CGTGGGAACTAGAAGCAGTTATATGTCGAGATTAACCAGCTCGCTTAACCAACGCTGTATGTTTAACTTGTTTGGCAGTCTGTATGTGCTTGTTTGAAGATATTGTAACTTTGCATGCTTGTCCTGATTCTTCTTTCCACAAACTCATCCCTTTGTACTTGCTATTAGCCCACCTCGATTTGACCTTTTTTTTGAGATTTGTTTTTGCAATTTGTAAATGAATTTTTGCTGCTCAGTACTCGTAACTGCTGGTTTTCGCGATCGAGGGAAATTCTTTTTTCCTTTAATTCTTGTATTCCCTTCCTTTACAACAGTTTCGATTCGTTTTTCTTCATATGGGCAGCTCGGTGTGAAGTTTGAGCGGTACTGTTTTGGATAGGCGCAATAAATTTTCGAGAACTTATGTATGTGGTCGTAATCGTTTAATATCTCGTATGCATGAAATAATTTCAAACTCCACGTTATCATCAGCCGACTTTGTTGCAGAATGCATCGTTGATTTCGGAGTGTTTATACTCCAGAGATCTCATATGCACATTCTTGTGTCCCTGTATAACCTGAAGGAGAAAATTTTGTACAGTGCAGTAAACTGTGATTGAGCATTATTACCAATTTTTTCAGGTGATTTCAAATCTGGACGAGCTTGTAAATCTTGAATACCTGGATATGAGTTACAACCGCATCAAGAAAATTGAAGGTCTTTCTGGCTTGGTGAATTTACGACGACTTTACTTAGTGCACAATAAAATTGATGAAATTGCTGGTTTGGAGTCGCTGACGAAGCTCGAACTGCTTGAACTTGGTGATAATCGAATTAAGGCAAGCATTCAGTTCTGATTTTCAATCCGCTTTCATCAGGCTAAGGACAAAGCTGTTGCGGCTTTCTCTTCGTACTTTGTCGATTAGCTGGATTTTGATCTCAGGAATGGTCTGGATTCTTTGGACGTCTTGTTGGTATGTTAGGAATAATGAGAGTACTGGGTAGGTCACGCAGTCTGTTTAATCTGGTCACTGTTTGTTATTATCCTCACTTCAGGCACTGCGTAATTGGCCTCACCACTCATAATTGGCCTGGTGGTTACGTAGTTTTTTATTAATTCGCTAGGTTGATAGTGAATTACTTCCCGGAAAAAAATTGTCGGCGTCTAGTTTTATTAAAAGTTACGGTCTTGAGCTTCACTGTTGAAAAGATAACTAATTTTTCTGCTTCAAGAAGTCCCTTTGTAGACATTTTTCAACGTTAGAAGTATTTTGCTGTTAAACTTTTCTGCGATTTTTAGCAGCTGGAAAATATTGGAC